CCTTGGCCCAAGTCCTGTCCTTTCAGAAAGGATTTTCTTTGTGGCGTCCTAAGATTCAGTGGGACATTCATTATTAGGGGAGCAGCAAGGCCTACGCACCGTGAGCCTCGCAGAGGGAGTGCTTCCCTCTGCCTTTGGCCCCTGCATCCTGGGAGCCGTTCCCAGCCCAGCTGGATTCTGCCTCGGCCAAGGCAAGCTTGGAAGGGCCTTGGCAGCTTTGTTTTCTACCCAGAGAGCTGCCAGCTCGCCTGTCGTTGTTGTCACTGGGGCATGGCCTGCTCGGTCAGAAGCCTGGTTTGGGGTAACTTGGTTTTGGCAGCCATGGGAGTTGTCTGTTCAGTTCTAGTGCACAGCCCTGACACCTGGGCCCAAACTCGTCTCTTCCCAGCAACTGGGTGGGGTGGGGGCAGGGGGAAGGGGTTGAGACCCAGCTGCCTGGTTGGCAATGCTTGCAGAGAGACAGTGCCTTCCGCCTTGGCGAAGCTGCAGAGGGCATCAGGTGTCCTGACCCAGGTTTGGGCTTTAAATAGCTCGGGCACTGCCCCTCGGGTTTCTCTGCATTTATGGACTTTGTGGAGTCCTCAAGATACTCCCATTTGTCCTCACAGCGGTGAGCACCGAGCCAATACCCCACCCCTCCATTTGAGGCATCTACTACACCCTTGGCCAGACAGGGAGAGTGCTGCTGTACTCGCTGCTTTTGGTCTGCTCAGAGGCTGTAATTATGCATAGCAATGATTTTAAATGACAGCTCCCCTTTAGTAAATGAGTTGATACACGTAAAGCACTCGCCACAGTGTGAGGGACATAATACGTGCTCAGTAAATATTAGAATTGATTCTCATTTTGTGTCAGGCACCTTCCTCATCAGGAGGGACCATAGCCTGGGGTCAGCAGCACAGACTCTAGAGGTAGATCACTTGGACCCAATGCCCAGCTCCCCACCTGTAAAAATGACTTCTGTGCCTCAGTCTCCCCACGTGTAAAAGTCTCACCGTACTGTCTTCCTTACGGGGTCATGGGAGAGTCGGTGAGCTAGCACACAGAGCAAGAGCTTGGCATGCAGCTCGATCCATGTCAGTTCTCCTTGTTACATATGAATGTGTTTCACTCCAGCCTTTGCCTGGACTGTGATTTCTAGTCCCTCACATGGCCGGCTTCTTCTCATCCTCAGGACTAGGTTTAAAGGACAGCCCCCTAGGAAGGTGTGCCAGATCACTCCGTTAAACAGATACTCACACACCCGCCCCCCACTCTCCAACCTCATCACCAGTTTTTCTTTTCCACCCTTATCTGTTGTGCTGTCTGCTCTTATCCTAGGATGTGAGCTCCAGGAGGGCGGGCAATTTGCCTGCTTTATTCATTGCTGTGCCCTCTGCTCCCAGCAAAGTGCCAGCACATAGTAAGTGCTCCGTAAACGTTCATGGAATGAACAAATAAGCCTCGCCACAACTTTGCTTTATTCATTCCACAAATAGGTACCGAGTACACAGTGGTGAATAAGATGCTCTGGTAAGTCTTGCATTTTAGTAAAATTTTAAAAACCTCTGGGCAGGCTGCCAGGTATGGTTGGGCAGTCTGTGCACTGCACAAAGGCACTGGACATGGGGATAAATAGAGGTTGCAACCCAGTCTGCTTGCCAAGCGGTGAGTCCTGGTGTGGAGCTCTCTCAGCCCAGAGGGGCACCTTTGTTAATACAAAAACCATCTTGGGAAGCGGGCCTTTCACAGAAGATATACTTGCCTAAGGCCACACCCCTACAAAGGAGGCAGTCAAGATGCAAGGCTGCCTTTTGACTTCTTTGGAGGGTTTCTCGGTGGCCACGGGCACAGTGTACTGGAGTTGCTCCCCGAGCCCCACCTGTCGGAAGGGGAAGTGATGCTCACAGGAATCTGGGCATGTGCTGTCTGGAATCACACTATATGTTGATGGCACAATCTCATGTTTAGTGGATTTCAAGTGCATGCATCTTTTTAAAAAAATATTTTTATTGGTTTCAGAGAGGAAGGAAGAGGGAGAGATAGAAACATTAATGAGAATCATTGGTTAGTTGCCTCCTACGTGCCCCCTGCTGGAGATATCAAGTTGGCAACCTGGGCATGTGCCCTGACCGGGAATCGAACTGTGATACTCAACCACTGAGCCACAATGGTCAGGCCTCAAGTGTTTGCATCTTTTAAACCAGTGGTTCTCAACCTTGGCTGCACATTAGAATCACCTGGGAATCTTTTTAAAATCCTGATTTCTGGGCCTCATCCTCCGGAAATTCTGTTTCTTTGTTATGGGGTGGGGCCACAACATTAGCAACAAAGAGACAATTTCTGCAGAATGAGGCCCAGAAATCAGGATTTTAAAAGGATTCCCAGGTGATTCTAATGTGCAGCCAAGGTTGAGAACCACTGGTTTAAACCCTCATTTCCTCTGCAGGCCTCTCCATATGTCTCCTGTCTCACGCTCACCTTGGGCCTCCCCAACATCTTCTGTGCACGTTCCCTAGCACCCCCTTTCTTAGAGTCACATGAAGACAAGTGGTGCTGCAACTGTCCTTTCTCTCGAGTCCTGCGGACCTTTCGTCCCCCACACCTCAGTCTGCCCCCCTGTAAGATGGAGCTAATCATCTGTAGCTGCTTTAACGTGGGGCACAGGTGAAGGTGCTTTGAAAAGCAGCAGGTGCTCTGCCAACTGGAGAGAATGATGCTATTTGTTTTCATGAAACTGGAGGCAAGTGGACCCCATTTCACTCATTCGTTTCTCCCTCTCTCCCTCATCTTCACTGGATTCTACTGTGTGCCCAGCGAATACCACACCTCTGATTCTTGGGGATTTGGGCCCAATTTCCAGCGTGGCCACCAGGCCTGTGCCACCACACCCCAAAGGTCAGCCCTGGTATGCCAGGCTTGTGGAAGCAGGGAGGGGACTGGGCTGGGCCTCCCACGCCAGCCCGGTTTGGGCAGACTCCACGCCTGGCTGGGTCTCCTACTTGGGAAGCCCTCTTTTGCCCTTTGTCGAATATGAGGTTTTCTGCTTATGAATTCCTTTGCCAAATCTCAAAGAAAAAAAAAGGCAGGTCCACAGGGATTGAAGTTGCATACATTTTTTTAATTGAAAGAAGTCAGCCTCCTAAGTATTGCTTTTACAGGTTTATCAAAGTCCAGTATTCAAACCACTCGCATTTTCTAAAAATAATTCTGGCCAGAGGAGCAACATGGCCTCCCCAGGCGTGGTGGATCAGTTTTGGCAACTTGATGAAGAAGCAACTTGAAATGAATAAGTCAAAGCCTTGCCCTCAGCCCGGACACCTTCCCGCCTCTTCTCCTTCGCAGTCATTCCCGGAAACAGTCGCTGCCTCTAAGATCAGCCTGGGCCAAACCCAGTCGGGCTGAGGGCTCCACGGGCAGCAGCCGGAGTTGCCTGTCGTTTCTGTGTGTGTGTCCGTGGTGTGAAGTGTCCTCTTGAAAGTTAAGTGTGGGGAGCAGGTGCAGTCGGGGAGAGAGAGCAGGGAGGCATACTCTGGCTGGGTTCCTGTAAACATCCATCGCGGTGCGGAAGGCCAGAAGCCAAGGCGAGGCCATCTGTGCAATGCTGCAGGCGGGAGAGGTCTTCGGACGTGCCCGCCTTCTCCCTTTGGGGAGGGGGACAAATGCCTTCCCGACCTCGGCACTCAGTCTCAACCTCTCCGTCCCCCTGTCCTGGGCCTGGACCGGAGCCTCTCTGTTGGCACAGAACTTCTGAAGGGAGCAGGCCTAACAAGAGAGAAAAAAGGGGTGTTACCAACATGGAAGCACCAACTGCCACCTGTCCTGGATGGGACTCTGGACCCTCCACCCGGCCTCAGGAGGCTCCTGGGGGCCAGGGAAGTCTTCCTTCTCTTCCTCGCTCCCAGAGAACCGCCAGAAGCCCCAGACTCAGGCTGGGAGTGTTTCCCGATAACTTATTTAAAACTTCTTTTAATGAATTTGCCTGATTTCTAAGGACCCTGGGCTGAAGAACCAGTGCAATTTTACGTGGGAGAGGAAGACTGTCCGTTATTGGGAAGGAGGGAGGGAATCCTGGGAGAGGGCAGCCCATGCAGTGGTCACCCAAGGGTCTGCCAGCTGACAAGAGCTCTAGGGCAGCTGAGCAAGCTCTGGGTAGTGGGCAGGGCTTGGCAGCACCTCCCACCTTGCCCATAAATGCTTCACAGCCTACAGGAAGGCTGTGGCCACAGCCAAGGTCCTTAGCAGCCCCACTTAGCTCTTTCTCCCAGGACACAGCATCACCCCCCCTCCCCCCGCCAGGCCCCTCGAAGGTCCCCACTCCCCTTGCCCTTCTCTCTGTCCAGCTGGTGCCAGTGTGTCTGCAGTGTCTCATACTCCCATGCCCATCCTCCGCCCCAGTTCTGAGTCTCATCTTTGCCAGTTCAGACTATTGCTTCTGCAAACGTCATCCAGCATCATATGAAACTGCTGTTAAACACCCAACACGTCTTGTTCATCAGGGCGCTATTGACATTTGGGGCAGATGATTCTCCGATGTTGGAGGGCTGTTCTGGGCATTGTGGGATGTTAGTAGCATCTCTAGCCTCTGACCACTAACTGCCAGCAGCATCCCCAGGTACATTAACAACAAAAATGCCCCCTTGCTCCATTTCCTAAGACCGCCCAAGGGGGCAGAACTGCTTCCACTGAGAACCACGCATCTCCTGCAGGTGGAGGCTGCCAGCAAGTGCTAGGATCACCTCCCAAACAAACAACTTGCACTTGAATCATCATCCCGGGTCTGCTCACAGGAGAGCACACCTGAGATGGAGCCTTACGCAGGTGATTTCATTCCACCTTCCTAACAACCCAGGAGTTATATACTATTACGATTCCATTTTACAGGGAGAGACACTAGAGAGGGTGTAAGGATGCCTACCTACCCAGGGCTTTGTCCCACAGGAGATCTCAAAGACTATCAAACCTTGTACCACCCGTGTGCCAGGTCCTGAGCTGGGTGCTGGGACCCCATGAGGAGTGCAGCTCCTGCCTTTGACACAATATAGTGAACAATTTCAGCCCAAGGTAATATACCTGACAACAGGAGGAGGCACAGGGGATGCACGGAGCTCAGAGTCTGGGAAAGGCTGTGCACAAAAGGCATGCCAGATAGAGGTCAGGCCTTGGAACCTCTCTGAGCTGGGTGCTGGGACCCCATGAGGAGTGCAGCTCTTGCCTTTGACACAATATGGTGAACAATTTCAGCCCAAGGTAATATATCCGACAACAGGGGATGAACAGGAAAGGCTGTGCACAAAAGGCATGCCAGGTGGAGGGCAGGTGGCCAGGACACAGCAGGTCTTGGAACCTCCTGTAGTTTGGCATGGGGTGGGGGAGGGGTAGAAGGCAGGCCAGGGGGAGACAAGCCTGGAGAGGGTAGCAGGGGCCAACTTGTTCAAGTTTCTTGTGTTCTCTGCCAGATTCATAGAGGCTGGCTGGGGACACATCCTTCCACGGCTCAGACCTTCCCTGGCTTCCACTAATGACACTGGTAAGTCTTTGAGTCCTTGGGCCCCAGCCCACCTCCCCACTAGACCTGACAGGTGGGAAGGGGAATGGGGGCCACAGCCAGAGCGTCAGCATCGGAGCTCTTGGCCCTTAGAGAGGTGTTCACAGGACCCCCTCCCCAGCCTGCCCGGAGTCCACCTCCTGTTGACCTCCCTCCTCAAGTAACCCCTGGGGTTCCTATGGGGGTGCTCCTGAGAACCTGGTGTCCATGACCTGGAGCAGGATTCTTCCTTCAGAGTCACCCTCACTGGGCTCACTGCAGCCACCTCCAAGGCAGGGGATCATGCCGAGCCCATTTCAGACTTGGGGGATGGGGTGTCAGAGAACACAGAACCCCATGGAACAGACCCACTCCTTTCCCAGTCCTGTGGCCACAACAAACAGCGTCCAGTCCCAGAGCCTGTCGGGCTGGAGCACCTCTCTCCTGTGCTAATATAGGGCCTCGCAGGAGCTGGCTCGGCAGGAATCCACCAGCGCTTCTGTCTCCGTGGTGTTTATCTATAGGGTCACTTTCTATTTATGGCAAGTGATGCCAATTTTCCATTTCTGATAGTAACATAAAGTTCCTCTTTTCCCAGAACATTAATTTCACTTTAAAAATTTAGAGAGCCGGTTTAAAGAAAACAACTACATAAATAATAGTTCAGGCAACAGGACGAAAAGTGTTGAAGCGGTCTTGTGAGGTTTGGGAAGATACTGATCCAAGTTAGTTCCACTCCACAGAGAATGAAGGGGCCCAGAGAGGGTGGTGACCTGCCCTAAGTCACACAGCAAGTCAAGCACAGAGACATCGTCCCAGGCCTCTGTATCCATGGCTGGAAGATGTCCTGGGACCTCTCATCTGGGCCACCAATCCCCTGCTCCTCTGACTTGCAAGTCTGGTCTCACAGCAAAACCCAGAATGAGAACAGCTGACCTTGATCAAGCGCTTTACACTCACCTTGTCCAATCTGCTTTAACTCATGTCTTAACTTATTCCTCAAAACAACCCTAGAAGGTGGGGCCAAGGAGGACCATCCTTCCTGAATTTCAGATGGGGTCAGAGAGGTTAAGTAAATTGTGCAAGGCCACACAGCCAAGCCAGGATTTGAACCTCCTTGGTATGACCCCCAAGTCTTAATTCCTCTCAGCATCTTTGGTCCATCACTTTCCTCCAAGGCATCAAAAGCCCTAGCTGAGCCCTAGCTAGTGTTGCTCAGTGGTCAGAGTGTCGGCCCACACACTGAAGGGTCGTGGGTTTGATTCCCGGTCAAAGAAATGTACCTGAGTTTCAGGTTTGCTCCCTGCCCTCCCTCCCCCATCAGGGTGCATGCAGAAGCAACTAATCAATGTCTCTCTCTCCCCCTCCTTCCCTTCCTTTCTCTCTGAAAAGCAATGGAAAAAATATCCTGTTTAGGATTTTAAAAAAAAGCCGCAGCTGAAAACCATCCCGGGCTGTAGCTGAGAATCTAAGCCAGTGGTTCTCAACCTTCTGGCCCTTTAAATACAGTTCCTCATGTTGTGACCCAACCATAAAATTATTTTCGTTGCTACTTCGTAACTGTAATGTTGCTACTGTTATGAATCGTAATGTAAATATCTGATATGCAGGATGGTCTTAGGCGACCCCTGTGAAAGGGTCGTTCGACCGCCAAAGGGGTCGCGACCCACAGGTTGAGAACCGCTGATAAGCAATGCCTAACATCATTAGAACATGAGACAATTCATTAGCCATTGGCTGTTTTTCTTTCTTTCTGAAACTGTAACCTCATTCCAGGCCACTCCCCAGAGGGGACAGAGGGAGTGAGTGGCTGACTCATTTGTCATTAGAATGATAGTTGGGCACTTAATCCATTTTAAGCACCAATATCCCAGCTTGAGGATAGGGCTTAAATGAGAAAATGGCCTATGTATCTTAAGGGTGCTGGTGGAACGGTGCTCTGGACATACTGAAAGGGGATAATTTTTTTTTGTAGTTCTGCCTTACCGGGTCATTCGGGCTCTCCCTCCTCAGCTGGGTGACCTCGGGCAAATCACCTAATTTCTCTGGGCCTCTTTCCTCATCTGAAAGGAAGACAACAATGCCTACCTCTTTGGGCTGTTTGTGGTGAGGCTTACATGAAATCCTGTGGGTGGAATGCCTGCCCTACCCAGCACACAGGAGGCAGGGTACGTGCTGGTTCCTCTCCTCCTTGTCCCCACCTGTTCCCAGCTAGAAACACCAGGCAGGGGCCTCCTTAACGCTGGGGCCTTCTGAAAGCAGCTCTCCTCCTCCAAAGACCTTGCCTGTTGGAAACCCATTACTCGTTGCTCTTTGTCCATGTATCAAACAAACAACCAAAGCGATGACGTCACCAAAGAGGTCACCCAAGTATGATTTGCCCAGTGTCTCCACTGTGGTCTCTGGGACAGGCTGTGCGGCAGGAGGGCCTCCGCCTTGTCTAGGTGACAAGTGTGTGGCCAGAAGGGGACGGAGAAGGAGAAGCTGCCTGGCTTATGTCTCTGATGGAAGTCAGCTTCTCAAATGTGGATTCTGGTTCACATGTCAGCTATTGATGCTCATCAGCGTGGGGCTTGTGAAGATTCTTTGTCCACAACGTGTTCCCATTTGGTCCGTGTCCAAGATTCCATGAGGCCTTCTGTAGGGCAGCGTCTGCCCAACACCTTCACGAGTCCTGCCACACCCAACAACCACCTGGACTGCTCTTATTTAGTATTTTCAACCAACACACCTCTTTCCTTTATCGTTAATCCTCACCTGAGGACATTTTATTTTTAGAAAGAGTGGGAGGGAGAGGGAAAGACAGAGAGAAACATCGATGTGAGAGAGACACCTTGATTGGTTGCCTCCTGCATACACCCCGACCAGGGCTGGGGAACCTGCAACCAAGGTACGTGCCCTTGACAGGAATCGAACCCGGGCTGAGGCTCTATCCACTGAGCCAAAGCAGCTAGCGCCACACACCTCTTAACTACAAAATTTTAAAAGGAACCTTTATGCCATTATCATGAATAAAAATTGGTATCATTTGTCATAAACATGAGGCGATGCTAAAAGTAAACATCATGGAAATGAAACTATGATGTCTAGCTAGATACCCCTGGCCTGCAAAGACGAGCCTGGGCCTGGTTTCTCTGGTCCAAAGGGACAAGTAGTAGGTGCCACAGAGTGGCAGAGCGCTGAGAGGCGGATGGCACTCTGCTTCCGCGTACCTGCTGCCTCCAGGGACGCCTGACAGGCGACATCACTGGGGAAGCACCACAAGTGTGGCTGGGAGGCCCACCGTAGCCACCTGATAGCTTGGCATCTGGGGTGAGTCACTGAACCTTCCTAAGCCTCCGTGTCCTTCCTGCATAATGAAGTTAATGAGCCCTGCCCTGCCTGCTTCACAGTTGATGATCCGGGAAGCTATGGATGTGGGAGGGGCGGTTATTTTTAACCACCCCACCACCAAGTCCCCTGCCAGGAAGGAATCCCAGGATTCCTGTCCCTTCTGGAGGTAAGGGCCTGGAACCAGCTCCCAGCCACCCACAGGACTGGGGCAAAGGATGAGGGCTGCAAGGGTATTTATCAGCCTTGGGCTGCTTCAAAGGTTGCCCACACAGACATACCCTCCTTGGTAACTGGCCCCCAAGAGTAAGAGAGCCAAGGAAAGGGGAAGACTTCCAGGGCCAAGCCCCCTCTGGGTGTGCCACACCATTAACACTGACAGCATCATTTATTAAGAACCGACTATGAGTTCTTCCTTCCCTATCTCATCTGTGCAAAGCCCTGCAGCAGATGCTATCATCCCCAGTTCAGAGAAGGAAACTGAGGCCTGAGGAGGTGAAGTCACTTGTCCAAGGTGTTGGTGGAGCTGGGATTTAAACCCCAATCTGACTGCAAAGTCTCTAAGCCACAATTTTAGGGGGGCACATGGAGATGGCCTTAAGTAACACCGAGTCACATGAGGTGAGCAAGCGATTCTTTTTGGTTCTAGATCGACCCTTGATTACTTTGAGGAGAAAGTTCCACTCTGGAGCTGGAGTATCTAATCACCTGACTGTTGCTAATCTGCCTTTTTAACAAAGAGCAGGCCAGAGGCCCTGCACCTTTAGCTGGCCTTCGTATTTGGCCAGAATTTAATGACTTTGGCACTTCCTGTTCTTTATCCATGCCAACTGATGCTGGTTTTCTCTTTTCAGTGATATAAACGTTCTTTTTAAAAAATTCACATGAAAATATTATTTTTTTAAAACGAAGCACTAAAACTAGTAGACTTAATCACAAACTATAAATTATAGAGGGAGAAATAGTAACTTTACAGTGTAAAGAACTGGCAGACACCACCTTAGCCAAGTGATCAAGGTTCACATCACCAGCGTGTGCCTCCCCTCATCATCATCACCTGTCTCTTGTCTGGGTAACAATCATAACTTCCCACCTGGTTTCCTGTCAGACCAGACCCCTGGCTGGGGGATCTCCCGGGACCTGACTCTATCGTGCCCATGCCCCTCAAAAGGTTTGGGTTTCTGAGCAGAGCAGTGGTATGCCAGCTTCCTGTGTCTTCTGCTGATAGCACAGGCCACAGATTGGCATGAGGGAGCAGGGCAGGTAGATCAGGAAAGAGTAGTTGCAGCACCCAGTCGGGAC